CTATGAAATCGAAAGATTCGAAAGTGTCAAGTACAGAGTAGATGGTGATTCGTCTTCTTACAGGCTCTCATTATGACATCGTTAGTGTGAGTGAAGATGTTCCATAAGAAAAGAAAAGCAAACTTGAAAAAGTGCGTGTCTACAAATCTTATTTAATCCAGCTTCCAGTGAATTGGCCGCCATAAATGCACCGTTTGAAACATTCCGGCACAAATTTTCATCCTCTGAGTGTAACTGCTTTAACTGTAATGCTTCGGATAAAATTTGTATGAGAGGGGATGGAATCTGCTCAGAACAATATACTTTGAACGTCGAACTGAACACTGAATACGTTTAAAGACCGTTTTGTGTGGTTCAATAGGTATAATGTTCCCGCTAGTTCTTCCCTATGCTATTCATGGTTAACATCTGTTTGATAGTAGGGAGATGCAGTAGGTTCTAGTAGTTTTCCAAAAGATATGGGGCATTTATTTCAACTAATCTGGGCACATGTTACACCGTCACAGAGTTCAACTTTCGGCTTATTCCCAACTTCACAAAGCTATAGTCTCCACTTTTTCAAATGGTTTCCAGTAAAGAATGATTTTTGAAAAGAATTCGTAAGGAATTCCCACAAAAATGTTTTCACATTACCCTCACAAAATGTGTGTACCTAGTACATATAACTGCAATGTAGGGAAAAGAGAGACAACATATCATTTATATTTTAAGATATCCAAGCGAAATGAAGCAGGAGGCGTTCTCGGACCAAAAAAGAAACTCTGGTGATTGTTTAGGAAATAAGGCTCTTACACATGTATTCGTTCTGTTCATCACTTCATGATGTGACAGACCCCGGGGTTCTGGAATTTTTTGTCACTCATAAAAGCAGCGAAACAAGATCATCTACCACAAAGGTCCAGAGATAGAGATTCTAACACGTTGTACATAACAATGTGATCGAATACAGGTCGAAAAGAATTTGCATCCTGAATCCAAGACATACTTCTCATACACTGAGAGCTTGAAATGCGATGGTGATTCCTCGTTAATCAGACTTTTAGTTGCGAATAGAGCAAAACATATTCAAGACATACTAAACACTGACTACTTTCTTTCTGAGGTTGACTCTCCACCAATCTCCAGTTCACACCTGGATTTTTTTATGCATATAGACTGGTACTACTCACTAATAGGGCCTATGATATATTCTTTATGCATGGTAAGATGATGCGTTTGTTGATTTCTCTCGATGACTTTGTAGTTGATGATGTAGGGGATAGGCATCTTCTGATAAAGCTTCGTGGGCAGACGTCCTTCTTTAGGGTGGACATCAGGTAATTTTCTTCGTTTCCCCGTGGAGTTGTTGTACTGCGGTGTGTTCTCTCTCTTTTGAATAAAGTCTGCACGCAACTGATCTTGTGGGTTGTTGGGTTGTTACTACTGTAGTCGAAGATTTGATCAGTGTGCGTTGGCTTCCTGTACACTTGGGTTTCCTGTCCCCCGGTATTTGTTCTACTGACTAAAACCCCCAGGAATGGTAGTTGATTGCTTCACTCCTCTATCGTCGATTTGGTGTCACTAAGAACAGTTCAACTCAGGGTAGAGTGATGCTTCAAAACTGCTCTTCAGGGAAAGTCTAGTTAAAGGATGGATTGTGGAGCGATAGAATCTACTAACCACTTCACTTATATTATGATTTGCATGTGTTCTAGTGGTTTGGCTGGTGATGAAGTCTCAGCTTGCCGTAGAAGGTTTCCTCGGCATCTTTGGCTGACGTCACGTTTGGTACCAGAAATACGTCCGATTGCGTATCAAATGATGAGTACACTGTGCAGTACCTCCCTCCGACTTATGACGTAGCTATGAAGCTTGGTTTTTGAAATTGGAAGACACGTGGAGACTACAGCTTTTGGATCAGAGGGACCCACAAACAACCGCTCACATGCACCAGAACCACAACATGTGTAATGATAAGGATGGTCACTTAGCTATTAAGATTGTAAGCTTTCACCAGCTGAAATCGCTTGAACAAGTACTTCGCATGTCGAGCAACTGTCTACCTTGAGTTGTGATGCTACTAGAGGTAGGATTATAAAGGAATAATGTTAAGGGTGGCTAGACCAAGACTTGATACCAGCCCATGCATTGTCTGACTGTTAATTCCAGCCAATTAAAAGGTTTTGCGCTTCTTGGTTGGGGTCCTCTTGTCGATAAGCACCAGTGGTTGGAGAGTGTTGGTGATTCCTAAAAGGCGGTCACAATGATACAAATGTATCCAGTCTGTTAACATTCATCTGGTTATTCTGTCTCCCACCTATACACGTTTATCTCGCTAAGATCAATTTTTTATCCACTTACTATCTGCATGCTATTTTGAAGCTTGAGAAAATGGAATTATACACTTCTCTGATTGGTTTTATACGGATCTGTCTGTAGGGCCCTAGTTGCCACCATTTATAAACAAATCCACATAATCGATAGTAGAATCATTTGATTGAAAGCTTAATCTGAACGGTGAATAGTACAATTTCTATAAGTGAATCTAAATGACTCACTACCGGAACGCAGAAAATGTTCGCACCAACGAGAGTACTGGTAAACTGTTAAAATTCACAATACTTAGGATACATACATGAGAAGTATGAATTCATTAAATGTGGACTATAACAAAAGAAATAATGATAGATCATCCATTGTGACCTATTTTCAAAATGTCACGAAGAGTAACCAACCAGTGACTAGGATTGTGTTGGGGACCCCAATGGACTTAGATTGACGGTCATAGGTTAGTATCACATCTCGCCTCTCCACCTTCAGCCTTCTTCTGACCTAACCCAACTTCCTCCATCATGAAACACTGAGGTAGTTGGTTGTTGGGAATGTTCAGTCAACGAAGGTTTACAACTTCATGAAGTGCCTTGTCTAGTGCGCCTCGTCTGATTTCAACAAAGCTTAAGTTGGCGATTCCACTATACGTGAAGGGTACTATGAAGACACTTATGGTCAAAACTTCCAACCGCTTCATAACTTTCAATGGCCATGTTTCATGGCCGTATAACAGAACAAAACTAACTGTAGCGTATTATCCTCGTCCTTTATATCTCACTGGTTGGTGTCAAAAACGACATAGGTTGGCAAATAGCAGGCTAGCCTTCTGTATTCGAGCTGGGATTTCATTAGCATCATATCTAAAAGGCTTGTAAATGAGCCACAACAGTACTCAGAGAGACATCAAACATGTCCTGAATGCAATGATTAACCCACCGGGATGCAAGCAAATCATCCAGCTGACCAGTCTTGAATGAAATGAAACGCGGACGTTTAAGATTCAACGTCCAACCACCACCAAGAAAATTGGAGAGTTGTAATAAACCGTTTAACTCATTTTACAGTCCGAACACTTCATTACTCTCTGTCTCAATCCAATGGACAAAGAAAATTACGGATTATAAAGTTCAGTAATGGAGTTATATCTCATCAGTTTAGAGAGTTGTTTGTCAGCCAATAGGTTATCGGTTTGAGTCCAGATTCACCAATCCTGGTTTGAGTAGCCAGATAGAATCGCAACCCTTCATACAACAGGCGTGCCTAATTGTCAACTACTATATGATTCTGGAAAAACTTCAAAAATCTGTGATTTCCATACTTCAGTTCCTTTTACAATGATTCAGTGCTACTCAACTACCATATGACTGGCGTGTTTGTTAACAGCCTTGAACAATAATTGTGTTTCCTCCGCGTTACACAGCTACTCATTGTAACATCACAAGAAAATCTGATAGAAATTTGCTATTCGACTAAGCAAACCATAGTCATGCTTGAGTTCCCCAAGGTTGTAGAAACCTCTTACTGACAAGTGCCATAAAGCACAAAACGTAGCTGAGACAGGATTTCCAGACAACTTCCCTCCGACCAAACTCCATAAAAGTACAAAGCCTACTAGCTTGTTGGCTACACCACAAGAAAAAAATCAATAAAGGTCACCTCAGCATTCGGAATTAACACTAGTGACCAACCAATGAAAATCCTTTTACTCCATTTGTGTACGTAGTATAATAATAATGATAATAATAACAATACTGACTTTAGGCTGGGACGAAACCAGTTGGAGGAACATTGGAAACCTGAGAGCACTGGACGGCTGTTTCTCCTTTGCACGAAGCTCCTCAACGGTGCGCACCAATGACCCCACTTCTGCAGGGGTCGAACCCATTACCTTCACGTTCCGTGGCCAGCATATTACCACTTAAGCAACCTAAAGTTTATCCATAAATTTCTACACACCTCCAAAGCTCATAGATGATTAGCTCCAAGAGTTGATTCTTGAAGTCCCAGTAACAAGTCTTGACGTAACCAGTGGAGTCAATTAAGTCGAACATGAAGAAAGTTACTTATCGATGACACTGGAAGTAGGTCACACTATATAATGAAATGACGGAAGTAGGTGTGAAAAATTGGATTCCACCTACACATTGCCTGGCCACGTAACTCGAAGGTCATGAGTTCGATGCCTGCGGAGATAGGGTCATGGGTCCGAACTGCTCAGGAGTCCCATACTAGACCGAGATGGATGTCCAGTTCTCCCCGTTTCTCAATATTCCTTCAACTAATGTTAGCTCTCGGCGAATTCCAATCTATAATAATAATAATTATAATAATAGTCTTGTTTTCCTTTGAAGAAAGCTGAGAGAGTAAAGCTTCTGCAGCAAACTTTTATAAAAATTGAGGGAAGATATATAATTGGGATGATATTTTCGGTGGTTATAAGAAGGATAGAAATCTTTGTTTAAACCCGGCGGGAAAATCAAAATTAAAACAAGAAATGTAGCGCTCAAATTTGAAATTTACAACGTAAAAAATGTAAATAGATGAATATATGGCGTTATCCACAATATACATCTTGTATATTCTACTTTGGTTTTACAAAAGTTAGACAGTTTTATCACAGAAGAATAAAGATGAATATCTTTGTATGTAATATAAAAGGTTAGTGGCCAGTAATGTTTTACCCTATCTATCTATATACAACAGAATTTTTGCCTTTGAGGTTCTTTTAAATTAGGTTTCTCCACAGGTAGATTATTAGTTGGTACAATTTTCGACTCTTCTTCATCAAATGATGGATAACTACTGACCACATTGTAAATAGCTAGATATAGAAAAATATACACTGAATCAGGATAAGAGGTAAGTGAATTGAAACCAGTAAATGAACATATGAGTAAAATTTGGCCATTGGAGTAGATTATAATTCAACATTAGATGCGTTACACACACACACACACAATGAAGGAATAGTATCCTCTACATGACAACATACTTTTCCAACACACAATCTATTGTCCACATTCATATCAGACAACTACCTCCACTACCTCAACACATTCACATACTCCTAATCTCCTCTCTTCCTTTGTCATGACAACACAAGTAGAATCTTCTGATGCCAGATGTCCGTAGTTAACCTTCTCAGTGTATGCCCAATCCACCTCCACTCCCTTCCAGTGCACTTTTGTTCAGCGATAAGTTGTTGCCTCGTTCGTTCGTTACCAGACAGAGTTCCTAATTGCTTATTCTTTCTGGCCATCTGAACTTCAGCATCGAGCCAGCATAGGCAGCTGCTGATGAATATCTGTAATTTGTTGGAAATGCTTTTCGTAACGCGCCAAGCCTCTGAGCCATACAGAAGCACTAACTTGACTGAATTGGTGTTGAAAATCCGGGTATTGTTCACGCTTTATGCTGAGTGCTGAAGATCTCCACACTGGTTTCAGGCTAATGAACACCTGTCTTGCTTTTCCGATCCTCCTCACTGTTCGTTGCATGATCCAGTCCACTACAATCAGAAGGATGATCGGTGATAGTAGACAGTCTTGTTTTACTTCTGTCTTCAGTTCAAAAGCATCACTGAGCTTCCCATTTTGGATTACTTGGCATGTGGCATCTTTATATAGTTGCTGAATGAGGCTGATAAAGGTTTTCGGGTATTTCGTAGTGTTATATATATATGGGACTGGTGCACAATCATCCACATTCCTGCAGGTATTTCGTGTTGATTCGATAAACAAAGATTCACTTGGTTATCTATCTCTCCCTCCCTTCCTCCCTCCATCCATCCAATACACCAATCAACCAAACAACCAACTTACTTCTCAATACTCTCAAGCAACCCCATCACACTGTGTCATTCTCTGTAATTGCATACATCAAAGCCATAGCTGAGCTTCTCTACAAATTATTCCCTACCTGATTACAATCTACTAATCTTCATTTATGTAACTTTGTGTACTCTGCTATTCTGACTGACCCTGACTAGTCGATCACATTCAACTTGTGTATTTCACCCGGCTAATCATTGTGAGGGATAGAGTACATCAAATTATTCTCCATAATTTAATCAGTAGCATCATTTTATCTACAAAGTTTGTTTCTGAGCTAGTTTGTTGGTATAAATGCCATTCGAATTGTATCTAGTTTTGTTGAGAATTCTTGTTAGTGTTTCTGAGGTCCCTTCTTTGTATGGAAACATAGTGGAGGGTTCCAATACTTTCTCCACCCTATCACCATCATTACTGTTAGTAGTAGGATGATCATTATTATAATTAACACTGTGCTGATTAACATGAGTTTATTGATAAATTTAGGCGGGTAATTACTGTGATGTAAGGGATTCTTGATTTGTCTAATTTCTTATCTTAGATTTTTCCCTCTACTAGTTAACTTTCAAGCCCCATCACTTGAACATCTAACGAAGCCTACTTTAATTGAAATCGGGGTGATGGGAGGATTTGAAGTTTTTGAGTAGTGGTTCGAATAGGAAGGTTTCCAATAGACATTGGTCTCTGAACTTCCATCTTGTGTTCATTTCATCTTGTAGTCCAACATTGCTAGTTCACCTTCATCACTTTCTAAGTCACAGATAAATTGGATTGTATTCACTACTGAATTTATATGTACCAAGAACCTACAGGTGTGTGTGTGTTTCGATTTCAGTACTGTAAATGAATCATCTGTACATCGTAAGCATATCTTTGAAGTAGGACTAACTGTTTGAAAGGTCATCTGTTCCCAAGTATCCATAAATATGTCTGCGACGATATGTCTGGGATATTGGTGAACTGCATGGCAACTTGAGAACTGTGAATGTTAGGCACAATTGTACTCTCAGTATGATTTCCTCCATCAGCGCTTTAGTTCAATGCGCAAGCTCAGTGTCATCTTTAAGACTATTTCTAACTGCCTGTCGAGACATGTCGATCGGTATATTTGTGTGTGAAGGTTAGTTATTTCAGAACTAAATATGGAAGAATATACACCGAAGTAATTTATAATTTTATTTTAGTCGTTTTTTAAGATTCCTTACAACACACACACACGCAGAGTGAAGGAATAGTATTCTCTAACCGACAACATACCTTTCCGACACACAATCTATTCTCCATATTCATATCATATCTCAACTGCCTAAACACATCATTTAATTGAGGAAGAAATGAAAGGTTCTGCAGAGTTATGAAGCCAAGTTAAGAGGACTGCTGAGATAGCGACGTGCTACTGAAGCTCTACGTTCCATTACGAACCCATAGAGCAGATAATAATAATAATAATCATTATAGAAGAGCATTAAAAACGTCTTAACTATATAAGTTACTCATGAGTAGTCAAATTATCATTATCGAAAAATTGTTGTTTAGTAGGCCTTTGAATAGACGGCTTCTTGTAAAACGAACAAAAAGAATGAGGCAACAAAAGATAACTCACTAACTTTTAAGTGTTTGATAAAATGCTTCATCAACATTGAATGCATCCAATGCTGAAGTCTCCATAAATGACATACCATGTTCTTCAGCAAATCGTTTTCCATCCTCTGTTATTGTACAACGTAAATGTTTTAGATCACATTTATTACCAACTAACATAATGACAACATCATTTGAAGCATATTCTTTCAATTCATTTAACCAACGATTTAAATTTGTAAAAGTATTCCGTTTTGATATATCATAAACTAATAATGCACCAACAGCTCCACGATAATAACTGATAAAATTGAAAAGTAAACGAGAAGTAGAATAAACTATTAGGTTAGTAAAACACCAGTTTATATGTTCAATGATATACTAGAATCGTTGTGGAAATACCTTCACCTTGATCAAAAGAAGAGTTTTCTTTTGTAGAAGTGATCAGTCTCCAATGGTACTTCCCTGCACTTCAATGGTTCGTTGCTAACGTTTCATTATCAGACTTCATGACCTCCTCAGCTATAACGTCAAGTTTATTTTCAGTTTCATCAAGAGACCGCCAGAAGTATTGAGAGCAGACGAAGAGACAACAGCAGACATGCTCACACCACTATTGCAGAAGGTCTGGAAGGAAAGGGAGGTACATGGCGATAGGAAGAAGGGCTACCTTGTCAAACTATAGAAGAAGAGAGATCTCAGTGTTTGCAAGAACTGGCACGGAATCACGCTCCTGTCCACCTCAAGCAAAATATTATGCTGCATCATCCTGGAGAGACTAAACGATGCATTGGATTCAAAACTACAACCTGAACAGGCAGTCTGGATTCAGGAAGTACAAATCATGCACGGAACAAAATGCAACGCTCACCGAGAAGTAATTTGGCAGTTGCTAATTCAACACTACGGAATACCCCAAAACCTTTATCAGCCTCATTCAACAACTGTATGAAGATGCCACATGCCAAGTGATTCACAACAGAATGGGAAGCTCACTGATGCCTTCGAAGTGAAGTGAAGACGGGAGTGGAAAACGGCCGCCCACTGTCACCCATGATATTCCTGATTGTGTTCGACTGCATCATGCAACAAACAGTGAGGTGCCAGAAGAGAGGAATACGCTGGACTGGGGAGAACATCTCGGAGGACTTGGATTTCGTCGATGACATGTGTCTGATGTCTTGTCACACAAACCTGAAGATCTACAGGCGAAAACTAACAAGTTGACAGAAGAGGTGTGGCATGTCAGCGAAGACAGGACTTCAAGTGAATATAAAGACAGGGGTGATGGAGGTACCCAACCAACAACAACAAGAAGCTCCAATCACCATCAGTAGGAGAAACTGGAAGGAAGTAGCCTCCTTCATCTATCTAGGCAGGGCAGCATCAATTCAACTACAGGGGGCGGCACAGACGAAGACGTCAAAGCCAGCCAGGATCGGAAACACAGCAAGACAGGTCTTCCTTCATTGACGTGAATGCAGTGTGTAGATCTTCAGCACTCAGCATAAAGCGTGAACAAGACCCGGTTTTTCAACACCAATGCAGTCAAGTCAGTTAGTGCTTCTATGTGATGGTTCAGAGACTTGGTGCGTTACGGAAGGGAACTCTGACCTGGTGACGAAACAACTAGGCAACAACCTATCGCTGAACAAATATGCACTGGAAGGAAGTGGAGATGGATTGGTCATACACTGAGAAGGCCAACTGGGAACATCACGCGTCAGGCCAGGAACTGGAGTGGAAGACAGATGGGAAGCGACGAGTTGGGCGTCTGACGATGACATAGAGCAGATCGTACGAGGAGGAAATGAGAGCTTGTGGGCAGGGTTAAGGTTAGGGGAGCCAGGCTGAAAAGATTTCAGAGAAGAGAATTCACTGGAGACGTGCTACTGAAGCCCTATATTCCACTAGGAACCCAAGAGACGAATAATAATCAATAATAATTTTTCAAGAGAAGACACAGCAGACAATTGGTTGGATTCCGAAGGCTTTCACTAACTGGCGTCATTTCGTCTCTCCGATTCCAGTGAAAAGTAAGTTTGTTTCTTTTTACAATTGACGAAATATACCCATTTATTCATTTAGAAGAATAGGGCATGTATCAGCGAAGAAGAAGCATTTCTCTATTCAACAACTTCATCATCAAGCTGTACAGTCGTATTCATACTCAGTAAAATGACACATAATTCCACTAAAAAGAGACTTGCTCAGTCAATATGCAAAATATACAATCGGTGTAGGTGGTAGTATTTGTTCAAGTTGAAGAGATAGAAAATGGGCCAGTGTGGACAAGGAAGCACGAATTGATAACAGGCGGTGAGATAAGAGACAAGTGTTGTCAAAGTATTGTAAAACGGTGATAATTAAGCTGAAACGTGTAAAAAGCAAAGCTTGAAAACGGGCCCCTTCAAAAATAACTCCGGAACTTTATTTATATAAAAGGTACATGGACGACACTTTTCTTATTTGCTATGAAACACGTTCAGTGGACGAGCTGTTAAGATGTTTAGATGATTGTTACCTATTCATTAAATTCACTGTAGACGAAGATATAAATTCAGCGTTTCACTTTCTAGATGTAATGTTAAAGAGAAGGGATGATGGCTCAATTCAAACGTCAGTCTATCAAAAACCAACTTGGACCGGTCAGTTCATTAACCTTAATAGTTGGGTACCTCTTGGTTGTAAGAGAAATCTCATTCACTCACTGTGTTCCAGAATCTATGGAATATATTCAGAAGATACTGTGAATACTGAAATCAAAACTCTTAGAATAATACTATCTAATAACGGATACCCTAAGAAAATAAATTGATGAGAATCTGAAGAAAAGAACCACTCCCCATCGCATTACAGTCCCTAAGAAAATTTTAACCATGAATCTAGAATTCAAAGGAGGCACCACAACCGAACTGCTGAGAAATCGTCTGTCAAGATGTATCAATAGTAACTTCTATGCTGCTAGACTGAGACTGATATTCTCCAGCCGTCGTCTGTTTCATCAATGCATGAAGGATAGGCTTTCACTTTTGTCCACATCTATATGTATCTACAAGTTCGCATACTCCTGTGTAGCTGACTATATTAGACGCTGTAAGGGGGGGGGGCTCCGAAAACGTGTTGCTGAACACTACTCGGTTTGGCTTACCAGAGGAGAGCAAAGGAAAACAACTTCATCCATATGTGAACACCTTGTTGAATTGGGACACTTAGCACCTGGAGATTCATTCTTTAAAATAATTTACAAAGTTAGATTGAACTACTTCACAGGTCCACCTTTTTATCACTTATGCATAGCTGAAGCATTAGCTATACATGAACAAAAACCGAAACTTTGCATTCAAAAACGTTTTGTGAAACCACTTTCTCTACCTTGGCCTTAATAATCCATTTTGTTGATTTTGTCAATTTCAGTTCACTTGTCTCTTATCTCACCGCCTGTTATCAATTCGTGCTTTCTTGTCCACACTGGTCCATTTTATATCCCTTCCACTTGAACAAATACTACCACCTACACCGATTGTATATTTTGCATATTGACTGAGCAAGTCTCTTTTTAGTGGAATTATATGTCACTTTACTGAGTATAAATACGACTGTACAGCTTGATAATGAAGTTGTTGAATAGAGAAATACTCCTTCTTCGCTGATGTATGTATTGTTTTTTTTTATAATTTCTTTATGCTTTGAAGTTTCTTTAGCGAATGGATTGGCTTTACGGGCAGTGTTGCTAGCCCTATGCTCAACATTCCCTCTTTACATAGTCTTAGTACCGGCTTAGTGAACTAGTTAACCAGGCGAGATTGGCAGTTGCCATAGTTTCCTTTAAGGTCGCTCTCTTTTTATGTTTTAAAGTTAAGATACCGTCAAAAATAGGCGACATTAAAGGTCACGCTAACAACTGTCAAAATAACCAATCAGATTGCTGTATTTTGACAAGGAAGACAAAATTTCATAGGATAAAGAAACGTGATTGGTTGTTACACAGTTGCTAGGGTAACCTTTAAAGTCACTCCCATAAACAATCGACAAGACAATATGCATACAGGTTTCGCCATTGTCAACAGCATCTAAACACGTGTAAGGGTAATATTTTGAACTGCAAGCCATAGGTCATCTTAGGAACAGACTGCTGTCAGTGTATGTAGTGTTTATAGTTCTACTCAAATGAAGCTCTCATTTCCCAACTAGTAGTCCATAAGTCCGAACCCCCTACCACGACAAACTAAGTTTCTGCAACCAGGTCTTGTTATTCATCCTCATTCAATAGATTTGACTGTTTGCCTACTGGATGAAGGTGAATTTCAGTTTCGTTTTCTATCAATATCTAATCAACTGGTATTTCTGTTGATGTAGCAGAGATGAAACATCGTCTTGTTTATGTTTCTTCTCTGTTGGTCTGAAGGTATCGCTGAAATACAAATGAAAGTATAAAGAAGTATCAGTGGATGTCTACTTTTGCACACATCATGAAAGATAAAACAGATATGAGGCTGGTATTGGTTGTGGATTGACATTAGTTTCAAGAATATTAAAAACCTGGGAACATTGGACAACCATTGTCTCTTTCTAGTATGGAACTGGTGGAGAATATTTGTAGGTCAAATGGATGGTCTTAGTTGTATTGTGTCCTCTGAGCTGAGCTTTTCAATTGTGGAGCCTTCATCGTCTTTCTAGACATCAACATCATCACCAGTAACTTCAGTATTAAGTGAGCTAGCTGTCAGTATCTCTTCCTGAGTGATTTATTAGCTTGCCCTGACCAACTGGTTTGTGTGTGATTGGTTGTTTCCTTTAATTGTTGTATCATTGTTTGACTGTATAGATTTTCCTGTTAGCTGTTCCTCTGATTGACCTCTGACCTGCGCGGTCATTTATGATTTTTCACATTGGTTGATAGACTGGGTCTATTTCTATACATATATGGATTGATGACTGACTGACGTAAATGCTAAGCTTCTATAAATTCTCTGACGACTCCGAAACAGGGCGAAACGCGCGTCCTGGATCCCCCTTCTATCTAATAGACGTCATTACTGTATTACTTTAGACTAGCATAGATAGAAGTTTGCCAGTTAATTCTCGGCTTAATCATCGTGAAAGCGAAACACAACTTAGGTTCATAAAATGGTTAACTTAATGGAGAACAATTAAGCTGACTGAGTTCACAAGTGTACAGTGAGGAATTCGAATCTACCTATGTATGTTTCATTACCCATCTTCGTGACCACCTCAGCACTGACTTCATACAAAATGGAAGTATATTCGAATGTTATATGAATGTTTAGTTGGTGTATT